GCCTGTGGGTACGGGCCGAGGGCTCCTGCAATTGCAAGTGTTGTATTTCCCCCACAGACCACCAGGGAGGCCAAGAATACCTTTGTTCAACCTGAAATGACTCATTTAATCATCCAAAACGTTATGGAACACATTAATTAACTGAAAAATGTTGCATAGTGTGCCTTTAAGGGAAAACTACCACGTTGTTTTTTTCAGGCCTGTTTCATGAGTTTATTTTTTAAATAATTTTGTCGAAACATTGTTGAAGAGCAATTTCTGACTGACATTTGTTCATTTTTGTATCATTTGTATTTATTATTTACTTTCGTCTGATTCTCGTTATTTGTGTGTTTTTTTTTTTCTTGTATTTAACGTTTGGTACCAACAATTTGTCCATGTTTGTAGATAAAGATTTTTCCATCAGGCATAGTTTTAGCCCCCCAACATGAAATGGCCCTTCCCAGTCAAACAGCATCCAAATGGCAGCCCACTCCCCAGCAACTTCCAGCAAAATCCCTCCAACGTCCAGCCAGTGGGGATGCATATTTTTTTACTCAATTACAGGCTCTGACCAGGAGATAACGCTTCTCTTTAATGTCCACAAATCATGACAGAAAGAATATTTTAGTACAAAGATTGATGCTTAGAAAGGAATTTTAGGGGACCAGCCAAGGACCCATCAAGGAAAGTGGGGACACTTTGAATGGTTACTATAGTTGACCTGTGTTACATTTATGGAAATGTAGATTTCAGGTTTAAGGCTTACAGTATTTCAGCTTGTTCTTCCTTCTTCTTCAAGCGGAAATAATCAATTTGTTAAGATTTGACGCTATTCTGTTGGAGTTTAGCCTCCGGTTGTTTTTAAACTAACAAATAAGATGCAGAGGAGAGGAAGTTCATGTCATCAGTAGTTCCTTCACAGATGTTTTCCAAATGTTTGCTGAGCCTCGTTAGTCTCTTTTTGTTTCACTTAATGTTTAATAGATGCAGGTTGAAAAGGGATATGAACCTGTGGAGATAAATGATTTAGAAGCTAAGTAATCTGAGTGGTCAACATTTCTAAATACGGCCAAACTGAACACTTCGAGCGGTTGATTACTAAAATATCCCGTTATTTCACGTATTTTTTATGCAGAATATAATATAAATGCCATTTGTATGGTTTTTCAATGAGAAAAATGAAATGAAACCGATAGCTTAACTTATTTTGTCCTGTGTGTCGGCTCTGCTGTGCCGCCGGTGCATTTTTATAACATCTATGTTTGAAACAATTGGTTTCATAGAATAACATAGAAGATAACTGCATAGGCTACAGAAAATTTAAGCTAGCCTTCCTCTGTTTTGTTTTGCGGATCTGAAATCACGTAACATAATTATCCATGGTTTCCTGGACACAGAGTTCACTTCTTTTTCAAAACGATGTGAAAGGTCAAACGTTTTGAAACCAACATGCAGGAGATCAGTCTTTAAGTCTCATCTCAGCTCTGGAAGGGGCAACAATCTCCTCTTCCTCATCGTCCTCCTCCTCCCCCTTCATGCTGCACACAGCACTGGTACCCTCCCCAAAGGGCTCTTTTACCTCTGAGATGAACATGTCATTTTAAAATTATTGTTGCACATGTTTAAATTCATAAAATGGCCAAAAATTAACAATATAAGCGAATTTCTTGATTACTATAAACAAATTATTTAAACAGCGTTTAGATCTGTATAAGCTGTCTATTAATATATCCACTATAAGTGGAGTCCACTGTAGTTTAGTTTTTTTTTTATATTATTTACTGTCTTTGAGGAAATTCAAGATAGTATCCAGGGAAAAAAAAGGAAGCATTGTATTTTTCTGTTAATTTTCTAATCACACATTTAGCTAGTAAGTTCTTTAAAAATATATTTCAGTGGTAATCTGGACAGACCTTCAGAAAAACTGAAGATATGATTCATCTATTGATAAACGGCACTATGTTGTTGTTTGTGTGTGTTTTATTTCTTGAGAATCTGTAAATATTGACCATGTCTTTACAGAGAGAGTCCAGATGGCAGCTGTGTCATATTTCTTTGTCAAATGTTTGCACGTTTCCTCTTCAAATGACAATTCATTTGCATGTGGCCAGACACATCACAAGTCAGTGTTGAGCAACACATGCCTCTTTTTCTGTCAGGTTGGCACTGAACATTTGTACATTTGCCTGTGTTCACATCAGATTTCTATTCACTGCCAACACTTCGGCCATGGCAAAAAATTTTAAATAAATGCCTTGCAAATAGGCGCAGTGTATGCTAGCAGAGGTTCACAGTTTCTGGCTTTGCATGGAATTTGTGTTAAGATTGTATTTGTAATGTATGAACGGGAGTTTTAATGACAGAAACAGCTCTTTATTTGGATCTGCACAGGTTTGTCTAAGAGCT